TAAACAGTGGGCCCTTTCTTTGGGACACTTTGTATAGCTTTACGTCTAGACCTTCATAAAACAATTATTATTCAGATCCACTTCATGACATGATCGTCTTCTTGCTACTTTTCCTGACGCTTACGCTATCATACCAGCAAACCGAGACTCTTCTTGAGAATCCTTTAAATCCGCCTCATGGCTGTGCAAATTTTGGCCTATGTATAGCTCCGGAACCTTTTGAAGACGAAATAACTGGTGAAACATATTATACGTGTCCCACTGATGGATGTGTTTGTAATCCAGGAACGGAAGGAGATACGTGCGAGACAAGTAGGTTGCTTTGCAAAACATAAAGTTTTCGAAATACCGACAGAAAAATGAATATATGGGTATAAATGTTATTTTTTGAGTAATCCCAAAGTGCGCTCCCGATCCATGTCCAAAAACAACTGGAAGTATGTTCATTTGTAAAGAGGGCTTACAAAACTACACATGCGTATGTCAACCAGGCTTTACAGGAGAAGACTGTACAATTGGTGAGTCGGCAAGGGTTATTTGCTTACATAAGTTTTTTTTACGTAGATTATGTTTGTAATTATCATATAGATCTTGCTTCTGTCTGTGCAACAAATCCATGTTTGAACGGTGCTACTTGTAAATCTACCAACAACGTTGATTATACGTGCAGCAAATGTCCTGAAGGAAAAATGGGACATCGATGCCAATGTAAGTGAGTTGAACTTATTATTAAATCTTTCCTTATATCTTTTAGATAATGACCCTTGTGCTGATGTTGATTGCCAGAATGGGGGCGTATGCGTGCCGATCTTCGATGGTGCCCACTTCTACTGCCAGTGTAAGGAGAACTGGCAGCAGGTTTACTGCGGGAGGACGAAGTACATTTGGCGTAAGTTATAATTTTACTTCAAAACAGTAAGCTTCCATGACATCCTTGCTGCTGACTCTACAGGTCTTCCAAAAGCGTTAAACTTTCCTCTTTCAGCTGAAACAGTTGTAACTGAAGGATGTTTCGAAACGAATGCGGCACTTGCTGATACGTCTTATTACAAAAACATAACTGAACCAGGCATGAGTATAACGAAGTGCAAGAAACACCTCATGTCGATTTTGAATATCTTCTACACCATGTTTAGTAAGTTTCTCTTCAAGATTTTTAGAAATGGGCTGGACTACAATACCGCTCATACCTTTCGCAAAATACGCGATTTCACAGAAAAATCCGTCGCAAGCGTCGTATCGTCATAATTTCTTTCAACAGATAGCTTGTCCAGACGAATCTTAAGGTATGCCACACTATAGTGACATCTAAGGTATACGGTAAACGCGG